CATAGTTTTAAAAGGCATATGTTTAGATGCTGATGTATTTTAGTATTGACTGTTTCCTATATTAAGCACTCCAAATTTCCTTTAGTTACATAGAGTTGGTAAGGAGACTCTGTGAGTATCAGTTATTCAGTCATTATATATTATATTGTGATAAAAAATACATTCAAAGGAAGAGATAGTTATGCTTTAAACTGTTTGGAGAAATGCATGGCCAGAAAAATTTCAGGTAGAAATAAATTTCTTAGCAAGGTTTTGATTGACAATGGCTCTATGGCGATTATAATCACATAATGATCCTTTTAATTTCAGGTTGAAATGGGGATGAAAAATCATGAAATAGTTCCCTGCAGTTTGGTGGCTTCCATAGCCAGTCTTAAACACGGTGGCTGTAATAAAGTCTTAAGAGAATTGGTGAAGCATAAGCTCATAGCTTGGGAGCGCACGAAAAGTAAGTATTTTGAGTTACCATTTCTACTTTTTCATGTGACTAGCTTCCCCAGAAGGAGCCATGGTGAAGCAGTGAGTTAAGTGTTGGTCTACTAACCAAAAGGTTGGCAGTTCAAGCCCACCAGCTGCTCCAGAGAAGAAAGATGAGGAGGTATACTTCCTTCTAAGATTTGTAGCTCTTGAAACCCTATAGAGCAATTCTACTCTGTTCTATTGGGTCTCTGTGAATTGGAATCCACTCATTGGCAGTGGGATAGCTTCTCCAAAAACAGGTGTCCCACGATAGGCAAGATAGTGGAAGTTGCCAGACCAGCTGATGTGCTAGACCTGTAGGTGATAAAGCATACCTATGTGTATTCTGTTGGTCATAACAGGGGTCCACCTAGATCATAGGGGGGAGGGGAGCACGGTTCCCATAGGGGAACCACAAGTTCATGTTGCAAAACAGCATTTAGAGTAGAGATCTTGGAAAATGTACTCACCACAGAACCCTAGAGCAGTACTTATCTGACCATCTGTGGAGAAGGGTGAGTTTTAACAATGAAGCGGAGTCAATGAAGGAAATGAAATGAAAAATAGCAATTCAAAATACAGGTACAAATTCTTTATTACTAAAGTCAACGGCATGAAATGAGCTGGTCAAATGTAAACATTTCTGAATTTACACTTTATTTCACTTTTTGAAGTTATCTTGTCTCAAAACCAGTGACAAAACATTTGCAGGCTGGCATCAGTCACTCTCAGGTCATATTTTGAGAGGAGAAATGCAAACTAGGAAGGAACTCTGTCAGCTCCAAACCAAAAGGTCGGTGGTCCAAACCCACCAGCTGCTCCATCGAGAAAGATGCGGCAGTGGCCTTTAGAAAAGATGGCAGCATTTGGAAGCCCCGTGTGGCATTTCTGCTCTGACCCATTAGGTCATGCAAGTTCAGATTTGACACAGTGGCACACATTACATGCGTAATTCTAATATCTGGAGCTATTGTTACTTGGCGATGCAGTTAACTATAGCGTGCTCTTTCCTTTGTTCATATAGCTGTGCAAGGCTATCGGCTGACAAACGCAGGCTATGACTACTTGGCTTTGAAGACACTTTCTTCTAGGCAGGTAGTTGAGTCTGTTGGAAACCAGATGGGTGTTGGCAAAGAATCAGGTAAGTGCTAACAGTAGTATTGAAATGATGTCTTTGTTTTACTGTGTGTGTCACGTGGCCCCTAGAACAAGTATTCATCTTTCCATTTTTTCCCAACCAAACAGTAAATTGAAAAATATTTGGAAACAATAAATTTCCAAATAGTAGGAAAGTACTAGCTTTATAGATAATTGGTTTGATGTGGGTTTTTTTGTTGTTGTTTTATCTAAATCATTTTATTGGGGGTTCGTACAACTCTTATCACAATCCATGCATACATCCAAAGTGTCAAGCACATTTGTACATTTGTTGCCATCATCATTCTCAAAACATTTGCTTTCTACTTGAGCCCTTGATATCAGTTCCTCATTTTTCCTTGTCCCTCCCCGCTCCCCCTCCCTCACGAACTCTTGATAATTTATAAATTATCATTATTTTGTCATATCTTACACTGTCCAACGTCTCCCTTCACTCACTTTTCTGTTGTCCATCCTGCAGGGAGGAGGTTATATGTAGATCCTTGTAATCAGTTCCCCCTTTCTACCACACCTTCCCTCCAGCCTCGCTGTATCACCACTCTCACCACTGGTCCTGAAGGGATCATCTGTCCTGGATTCCATGTGTTTCCAGTTCCTATCTGTACCAATGTACATCCTCTGGTCTAGCCAGATTTATAAGGTAGAATCAGGATCATTATAGTGGGGAGAAGGAAGTATTTAGGAACTAGAGGAAAGTTGTGTGTTTCATCGTTGCTACCTTGCACCCTGACTGGCTCGTCTCCTCCCCGATACCCTTCTGTAAGGGGTTGTCTAGTTGCCTACAGATGGGCTTTGGGTTTCCACTCTACACTCACCCTCGTTTACAATGATATGATGGGTTTTTTTATAACGCCATTACTGAAATTGTTTATACCAAGAATAATTGAAATTTTAACAAATACTTTGTCTTTGATTTGCATCTGGCAAATTGCACATTTGTAACAGTTAAAAATATATAACAAAGAACTAGAAGAAATTGATTGTATGTTTGCATCACAGCAAAAAGATCGATGTGATCTAATGTTAGATGTGTAGCAAGCACAGAGAAAGCTCTCCCACAGCACTGAACCAATGTATGTATTCCCTGTGCGACACACACAAACAGGGACCGAGTTCTTTTTAACAGACCATCTTACACACAGCTTCATATCCCCTGTAGTTACCGATTTCACCTGTCTTCTTTAGTAGAGGTTTTTTTCTCTCTCCTATTTGGCTTTGTTTTTGAGAATATACACAGCAAAGCAAACACCAATTTAACAATTTCTACATGTGCACTTCTATATGTTGGTAGATTCTTGTCAGATACATGGTTTCCAAAGATATTTTCCCAGTCCCTTTCTTTTCTCCTGTTTGGTAAAGTCTTCAATGTTGTTTGTTTGTTTGTTTGTTTGTTTGTTTTAATCAAATTTTATTTATTTTGCCTTTGCTGCTTGTGGTAAGCCTGACATCATTGCCTCTGCCCTGTTCTTCTAAGAATTTTATGGTTTAAGTGTACACATTCAGGTTCTGAATACAGTTTCGGTATATTTTGTATGTGATGTTTGCTTCATTGAGAAAATTGCTTCCTTCCCATCTTTGGGAAAAATATGAACAGTATTGTTATCATTTCTTTAATTAATGTTTGATAGAATTTCTCAGTGAAGCTATCTGGTCCAGGACTTCTTTTGTTGTTGGGAGGTTTCTTTTTATTTTCTCTGGTATTTGGGGGTAGGTTGTATGCATCTAAGAATTTGTACATTTGTGTAGGTTGCATGCTTCTAAAAATTTGTTAGCTAGTTTGTTGCCATGAAGTTCAATATATTCTGTCATAATTCCTTTTATTGCTCTTAGGTCAGTTGTAATGTCCCATCATTCATTTTTCAGTTTGGTTTATGTGTATCTTTTCTTTATCCTTCAATATAAAGGATTGTCAATGTTACTGACCTTTTCAAAGAAACGTATTTCCGGTTTTATTGATTCTGTTGTTTTTCTAATAGCCCTGGTGGCTTAGTGGTTACACACCGTGCTGTTAGCTGGCCAGGTCAGCAGTTGGAAACCACTAGCCGCTCTGAGGGAGAAAGATGAGGCTTTCTTCTCCCTTAAAGAGCCACAATGTTAGCCACCACCAGGGCAGTTGTGTCCTGTCCAATGGGGTTGTTAGGAGTTGGGATAGCCTCAGTTGCAGGGAGTTTGGCTGAGTATTATTTTTCTGTTGTGACTTCATTTACTTCTGCTCTGGTCTTTGTTGTGTCCTTTCTTCGTAGTTTGCTCTTCTCTCTCGAGTTCCTGCCGTTCTTGAGGGGCTGTTAATGTGAGGTCTTTTTTAGGTTTGCTGTTAAGTTTTTGTGATACTGTCGGTTTCCTTCTGAGTACTACCTTCCCTGGGTCCTATAAGTTTTGGTATGTTGTGCTTCTATTTTTACTTGACTCTAAGACATGTATGGTTTCCATTTTGATTTCTTCTTTGACCCATCGGTAGTTTAATAGAGCGTAGTTGTAATTTTCATATGTTTATTTTCTAGGGTGGCTTTTTGATATTGCATTCTTTTTCTGTTACTGATTTCTGGCTTCATTCTGTTGTGATCAAAGAAAATACTTTGTATTAATTCAGTCTTTGTGAATTCATCAAGACTTTCTTTGTGCCTTAAAATGTAGTTTGTCTTCGAGACTGACCCTTGTGCAACTGGAGTAGAATGTGTGAGGGGATTTTAAAAGTTTGGGGGAAAGTGGAAGGGAAAAGTAATGACATGTTTCTAAGAAGTCTTTGATGCTCCCTCATATGTGTTCTGTTTTGAAGTGCAGTGTTCTCTGTGTGGAGCTGTGGTGCCATGATGGTTACCACTTGGGCTGCTCTCTGAAAGGCCCCAGCAGTTCAAAACCATTAGCCACTCCGAGAGACAAAACGAGGCTTTTTGCTCCTGTAAAGAATTACACTCTGGGAACCCACAGGGGCAGTTGTGCCCTGTGCTATAGGGTCATCACTGGCAGTATCAACTCAGTGGCAGTGAGTTTTGAGTTGAGTTTTGTTCTAAATGTATCTGTTAAGTCTGGTTAGTTTATAGTCCTTGTTGGTCTGCTAGCTGTTCTATCCAGGCTGGGGGTTTCCAACGATTATTGTAGCACTGCTATCCCTTTCTCCCCCTTCGTTCTGTGTTTGTTTTATGGATTTAAGTGCCCTAATTGTGGGTACATATAGATCTGTGACTTACATTTTCCTAAGTCACCCTTGGTCACTATAAAATGTCCATCTTGATCTTTCTTGTCCAGATTTTTGTCTTAAAGTCTACTCTGTCTTGTGATTAGAACATTAGTCAGTTTGCATTCTCTGTAAGTACTAATAAGAGGTGACTTGCTTTTGCTTTTTGCTTCTTTTGGTGTGCTTAGGCCTCTTTGTTTATTACAGCTGCTCACTCTAATGTGTCCTGCTTTATTGTAGTGGGCTTTTTGGTTCTCCTTTTCTTTCCTTATTGTTTTAATGTGTTTATCTTCTTAGTGGGTACTTTGCTAGAGGGATGAGTTACTGTGAGGGGGCTTCAAAAAGTTCATGCCAAAGTAGAATAGGAAATAATGGAATTTTTTCTATGAATGTTTAGAAGCGCCCTTGAACTTTTCAGCTTTTCATTTAGGGCTGTAAAGTGATTCTGTACATGCTTGGGATATACGGATTTCTGCTGATTGAAAAATATTCTGAAGTATATTAGCATATTTGACTCAGAGCAAAGTTAAGAAGTTAAAATTAGTTTGTTTAAATTAAAGTGCAATAATTTTTTTTTAATCTTGGCTACAGATATTTACATAGTTGCAAATGAAGAAGGAAATCAGTTTGCATTAAAGCTGCACAGATTAGGAAGAACCTCCTTTCGAAATCTGAAAAACAAGCGTGATTACCATAAACACAGGCATAATGTGTCCTGGCTCTATTTATCTCGTCTCTCTGCCATGAAGGAATTTGCTTATATGAAGGTATTTTTTTAATAATTTTACATTTTGTAATTAATTAGCACAAAAACTGTAATGAAAAGCTGTCTGTTCCCCACATATTCCGTCCAGTCACAACCTCTAGAGACAGTCACTTTTAATTTTTAGTTATTTCTATTTTATATTTTCCTGATGATTTCTTTCTACGTGTTGGTATTTTTTATTATTATGAATATGTAACAACCATATTCATTTTACAAGATTAATGAAAGAGTAGCATAAAGTGATTGGTGATGTGAGTACCTCAGTTGTGTGTGTGAATGTGTATCTGTTTAGCTTTTTCATACATATGAAGGGATGCCCCCACCAAAAAAATTTTCTCCCCCCAAAAGCTATGTATTTAATTTTTTTATAAAACAACCGTATTACCTTCGAAGTACTCTCCATTAGACTTAATACTATTTGTCAAATCTATATAATTCCTTTGTTGCTTGCCTAGCGGGAAAAATGCGTACGACGTAAACCTCCTCAGCAGTTTTTTTTTTCCATTTTTTTTCTGGGTGGGGAGGGGTGCCGTATTATCTGTCTCTTAACTGGAGAAACAGGATGATGACTATCCATGGAAACCCTAAGCTGCCCAATAGTGTTTTCCTTTCACATTCTGGAATAAATGTTAGTATACAGAGTTGTATGGAGAGGCTTCAAAAAGTTCTTGGGAAAATGGATTTAAAAATAATGGAATTTTTCCATGAGCTTCTTGAAGCCTTCTCATATTGAAATGGTAAAAATCTGTGGTTTTTAACTTAATGATTATAATTAATGAGGTCAAAATTAATAGGTTGGTTAAATATGTTTATATAAACCAAAATAAGCATCTTTAATAATAACCGAATAAAACTAAAGAAAAGAACATTGCATTTTGATTATTTTGTCATTGGATTTATTTTAAATTTTATTTTATTTATTTTTTAATCATTTTATTAGGGGCTCATACAACTCTTATCACAATCCATACATACATCAATTGTGTAAAGCACATTTGTATATTTATTGCCCATTAAATTTTATTTTTAATTGTGGAAAATCACTTCCATTTCTGAGTTATTTTTTGGTTGTCAGTGTGGTGTTTCTTGGGTAAATTGCTTTTAATTTATATGATTTAATGCTTAGTTATCCTGAAGGGAATCTTCTTGAGGCCTTAACAAGTGTGGTACGTGCTTTTCACCTTAGAGTCTATGGTCCTTACTCAGTGCAAGGCAGCTTAGAGGGATTTCAAAACGTAGTAGTCTTTTCCCTGGATGTTCATATGAAGTGCATATATGGAATCCAGTGTGCTCCTTACATTTTCCTAAAAGAGACGAGGGGTAAGGTTCAAGTTGCTCAGGGTCCCCGAGTCATGAAAACAGTTGACGCAGTTGGCTACAAAGGGCAGGTTGGAGGTTCAGGTCTGCCAGATCGACTTCAAAAGAAAGAGCGAAGCCCGACAACCTCCTTCCAAACAGGCAACCACAGAAACATCGTGGAGCATCCTTACATGTGTGCAGTCACCATGAGTCAGAATTGACATGATTACGATGGAGCTGGACAGAGCTATTGCACTGCCAGGCACCTACTTTGAAATAAAAAGTTGGAAAACAAGCAGGCAAAAGTCATTGGGAATGGGGAGTAATTCCATTTCTGTCTGAGGAAGGCAGGAGCTAAGTGTAGGCCTTTTTTAAGACTTAAGCCATAAGCACAAGCTGGCTTCAGACCATAGCCAACAAAGCAAAACAGAAATGACCTGAATTTTTACGTGATTTGGGTGATTTGTTACGGTAATCAGAACAGGAAAATGATGGGTCAAAGCCCTGGAATGGGACCCTCAGAGAGGTCTAGTAAGCCCGTTTAGGAGCCTGATGCATGAGGTGGGATTATTGGCTGCACCTTTGAGAGCCACACGCATTCAAAGTGGGAACATAGTCGGTGCCATCACTGAATTGGCTTTAATTCCATTTTATGTGTGTGTACATTTGGCCTCACTGTGGAACTGTTGAACCATCCCATGCTTGGAATAAATTCTTCATCCCTATCACCTTCACATTCAGCTTTCAAATCACTAAAAAAAACATTAACTTTTTGTTTGTTTGGTGGGTTTGGGGCACTAAACAAAGTATCCACCAAACCTACTGCTATCAGGTCAGTGCCGACATCGCGTCCCTGTCTAGGGCTTCCACGTCTAAATCTTTACATGAGCTGATAGTCCCGTGTTCTCCCGCAGAGTGGTTGGTGGGTCTGAACTGCCGACCTGGCAGTTGATAGTCTAGTGCTTACCTGACAGGGCTGGCTGAATAAGAATCATAAGCACCTGTTCCAGCTGACCTAAAAATTCTTAAGAGGCAGGATTTGGAACAGATCTCATTCATACCCAAGGACTCCCTGTGCATGTTAACATTCAGCTGTGTGCTTATCAGTGTATTCAATACTGCCATGGGAATGTGTTGGGGGAACAGATACCAAGGGAGTAGCCAGTATAACCTGTGTTTTAAAATCAGAAAAATAACACGGGGGTGGATGAAACCAAGAACAGCTTTTCAAAAATAAATATGTAGAGTTCCAAGAAACTTCAGGAGAATGGAACTGTCAGTGAACTAGGTGGGAGCTGCGTGGAGGAGTGACGCATGATTGTGTTTGGCTCCAAAAGAACCGATGTGGGCAAAGGTACTAATGAGGCCGAGAACCCTCTGTATAGGTGACAGTGAGTGGTTGTCCCTAACACATTTTAGGGTTTTTATTAGAGAGAGCGTTGAAAGAAGCAGGACTTGCTAGGTGAGTTAAAGAAAACCAGAAAAAGTTGTTCAGATTGAAATCAGCCAATATTTAAATAGCCACTGGGTTTTTGATACATATTTTTTAATGGAGATTGACATGAGCATCTCGGTTTGGGCAGACCTGCAGAGTGACTTAGGATTGGTGGTAGGAGCTGGAACCCTGTGGCGGTGGCGGCATTGTGTGCCGTCGGGTACATCCTACTCAGAGCAACCTTATAGGAGCGGCCGCCCACGCTGGCTTTCGTAGAATGAAATCTTTATAGAGCAGAGAGCCAAGCCACTTCTCATGTGGAACTGCCAGTGAGTGTGAGCTGCTGACCTTTCAATTAACAGCTGCATGCTCAACCATTGCGTTACCGGATTCCTTCTGTTGTAGGGATCAGGAGTAAGTAACGGGCCCGTTGAGAGTTGTAGCATTGCGTATGGGCAGAAAACTTAAATCTCAGTTATTTTGAAGGATCAAACAAGGCATAGTGAACAATGACATAGAAGAAATTAAACATCAAGGAAAGTTGCCTATCAGAAGGCAGAGTATTTCCTAAAACATGATTTGATTTGGTGGCTGATTTGAACACAATATTTGAGAGTAGAAGTATCCTGAGACTGTAAGCTTCTTTAGGGCAGAGGTTTTTTTAAGATTAATTTTTGTAACCCTAATATGATGCATAGTGTATAGTAAATGTTTAGTGAATGATTGATATGTAAATGAAAACATATTTCAATTTAAATGTTGTTGTTATATCCATCTTATACTATGCAGTGACAAAGCCCTATAGAAGTCACTTGGTCTAACTGTAAATTTATACAGGCCTGAGGGCTTTCTTCTGATTGTATGCAGGTATGTTTACTTTATGGTACTTTAAAAAACAATGACCTCTGTTGTCTGTGACACCAGTGTTTTGTGTTTTAGGCTTTGTATGAAAGGAAATTTCCTGTTCCAAAGCCAATTGATTACAATCGCCATGCAGTGGTCATGGAGCTCGTAAATGGCTATCCTTTGTAAGTATTTATTATTCCTGAAACCATCCCCCAAAACTCCAAGCTCACTGCCACCGAGTTACCGACACTCACCGTGACCCTCTGGGACAGGGTAGAATTGCACCTGTGGGTTTCTAAGACTTTGACTCTTTACAGGAGTAGAAAGCCCCATCCTTCTCTTGCGGAGTGCCTGGTGCTTTCGAACGGTTGCCCTTGCAGTTAGCAGCCCAACACATAACCACTACACCACCAGACCTCGCTTGGAGCCCAATAAATAAATGTTAAAGTGTTCAGTGTTTCTCTTTTATTATTAAGTGGAATATTATTCTGGAAGGTTAGATACTGGTTTAAAGAGGAACTCCAGAGAAAACTGAACACTCATATTCATTCTGACCATGTGAATTTTAGCATTTATGTTAATCGCCCAGGTATGCTAATACCAATAAAACAAACTGGTATATGAGAAAAATTGATTATCTCACAGTCCTGGAGATTAGGAAAGCTCTTGCTGCATACCAGACATTGTTATGCTTTAGCAGTGAACTAGACAGAGCCTTTGCCCCCGTGGAGCTCACAGTTCATGGAAAGGGATATGCAGCAAATCGAGGAAATGTATGTGGTGACGAATGGCAACGAGTGCTGGGGATAAGCTGGACTGAGGTGGGGGGGGAGGCACTGATATTTAGAGGTCAGTCAGGGAAGCCTGCTTGATTGACAAGCAGAAACCTAAAGAAGCGAGGGAGAAGACCAAGTAATGTTTAAGAGAACATGTTTAGACAGAGGGAGCAGTAAGTGCATAGGAATTGAGATTGAATGTTCAGGGAACAGTGAGAAAGCCAGTGTGGCTGTTAGGTATGTCAGGGGAGACTACATGGTCATAATGGGCAGCAGGTGACCACACTAATTAAGGTTCCCACACTATTCATTGTAAGGATTTTCTGTTTTGATTAACACAAAAAGCCACGGGAGGGTTGTTAGCAGAGGAGAGACATGATCTGACTGCTGTGTTAAGATTATGCTGGCAACTGTGTTGAGAATAGAGGAGTGGGACACAGGAGCAGAGCTGCTGTGCTGAGCCGTCCAGTCTGCCTGACTCATACATCACACACAGAACCACGTGTGGTCCTGCACAGTTCTCACGGGTGCTGTGTGTGAGCTCATCGTTGCAGCCACTGTATCAGTCTATTTCGTTGAGGGTCTTCCTGTAGGGATTAGTCTCTCCTGGTGACATGTCCAAAGTACATGAGATGAAGGGTTCCCTTCTTCGTCTTTAAGGGGCCTGTTGTCTGTACTTCCTCCAAGACAGTATTTGTTGCCAGCACCATCATTCGAAGACATCCATTCTTTTCCAGTGTACGGCTTTCCCACGTGTGAGACGGTAGAAAATAACTTGGCTTGGGTCAGGTGCATGTTTGTCTTCCAAGTGGCATCTTTACTCTTGAACCCTTTGAAAAGAAGTCTTTGGTACCGCATTTGCCCAATTCAGTGTCGTTTGATTGCTGTTTCCAGGAGCATAGACCCAGGTGGAATGAGATCCTTGACAACGTCAATTTTTGGTTTATCATAGTGTGGTCTCTTGGTCCAGTTGTGAGGAGTTTTGTTTTATGCTGAGTTTTAATTTTTTATTGATGACTGTAGTCTTTGATTTTCATCAGAAATAACTCAAGCTCTGTGGGCTCTCAGCAAGGAAGGTTGTGTTATCTGCCTAGCACAGGTCGCTAATGAGCTTTCCTCCATTCTTGCCACTGCTTTCTTCATCACCCAATACAGCTTCTCAGATTATTTGCACAGTGTACAGATTGAGAAAGTATGGTAAGAGGATACAACCCTGATGCACACCTTTCTTGATTCTAGCCCACCCTCTCCCTTTGTTTGGTACCATGTTTGCCTTTTGGTGTGGGTACAAATTTTACATGAGCACAGTTCCTCTGGTCTGCAGTCATTAATGTTCGGTGCATCCGATCCGTCTTTGAGATCTCGAAATTCAGGTAGGATATGCTTATGGTATGTTTTGGTGCTCGTGGACTTGTTTTGATTTTCTTCATCTTTGATTTGAACTTGCATATGCACATGTTCTTCTGAAGTCAGCCCTGGTCTCATTCTACTCTTGATACTGACCTTTTCCATCATTTCCTTTCACCAATTTGGTCTATTTGATTCTCGTGTATTCATGTGTTTTGTGTATGTAGTCACTGTTTATGCTGTTGAAAAGATGCATTTGCAGCAAGTACGTTTTGGTCTTAAAAGACTCTTACCAGGTGATTGATTACTGGTGGTGAGTCTTTCATAAATGCCGTACGTTAAAGCTGCTGCCGGTTCGTCCTTGGTTCCAGTTTTCACCTTCCAAACACTCATAATGTCGTACATCTTGATTGCATGTCTGATCAATTTCAGACTGCAGAAGCTAATTGTAAGGTCTTTAATTTCCTTATCTTTGGCATTAGCACTTGGCACATAAATTTCGTCATAGTAATTTGTCTCCCTTGTAAATGTATGAATATAATGCTATCACTAACAGCACTGTGTCACGATAAAGCTTTATGTGTTCCATCTCATTTTTCTTTTTTTAATTTATTTTTTATATCATTTTATAAGGAGCTCATACAACTCTCATCACAGTCCATACACGCATCAATTCTGTAAAGCACATTTGTACGTTCGTTGCCCTCATCATTCTCTCCATCTCATTTTTTCATGACTTTTCTTAGTCTAGAAGCCCAGCTGACCTGTCCACCATCAGTGACCTTGCTTGTATTTTTGAAATACCAGTGGCATAGCTTTCAGCATCACAGCAAATACCAGCCACCACAGTACTAAACAGTCTCAGCTGAACGAGCAGTGGAAGTCCTATATGCATATGCAAATAACCCGTTCTCTTAACGTACTCTTAGATGCCAGATACATCATGTTGAAGATCCTGCATCAGTATATGATGAAGCGATGGAACTAATTGTCAAACTTGGAAATCATGGGCTTATTCACGGGGATTTCAATGAATTCAACCTGATTTTGGATCAAGATGATCACATTACCATGATTGACTTTCCACAGATGGTTTCAACCTCTCATCCCAATGCTGAATGGTAGGTGCTGCAGTTATTTTATTTTGATTATATGTGTTGTTAATTATTGTTAGGTAGCTGAACAAATGCCATGGGGGCACATGTGACTTCCCCCAACTTCAGTAGGGAGAAAAAGAATCCAGCCCACACCAACCAAGACTGAGTGCCACAAGGCAGGAGTTAGACATGCCTCCTTCTCTTTACCAATTCTGAGCACCCTTCTTCCCCTAGCACTCCACTTCTCTACTGGGTTCAATAATCTATTGCAGTAACTGCACAGACCCTCCAGATAACACTCATGATTACCGGGGTTTATTAGGGAATTTAACAGGTTACCACAAAAAAGAATAAAACAAACAATACGAGTACAGTCTTTGTCCACAGCAGTGCTTCTTGTCAGCCACCAGCCGAGTCCCTCTCTGGTCCTCAGCCACATGGTCCTCTGGCTACTGCTTTGCGCTGTGGCCAGAAAGACCCTCACTCTCCTCGGGATCTCAGCGCTGCTCCTTTGTGCTGTCTCATGGCTTCGGTTACCGCAGCCTCTGCTGCCTCTGGCACTTCAAGCAAGGATCTCATATGCACTCCACTGGTGCCTCTTAATACTTGAAGTCTCGGTACTCTTCTTCCCTTTTTCTGAGATGGTCACTCTTCTGTGTCCAGTGAAATGGCAAAACTGAACAAGCCCCTCCATTGGTGTTTTACATACTCTATTTGTATGATCCCACCCAGTCATTTGGTGGGAGTTACAAAGACCTGTGTAAAAGAGCCATAAGTAAATCATTTCACTTCACCACAGTGCCAGCAGGTTGGTTTGTATCATATTGGCCAGAACAGAATAAAGCACTGCCCCATTCTGTACT